TACTGATTATATTCCCATTATAGTTTTAAAAAAATCTAAGGGAGATTTAGTAGCCAACACAATAGAGAATCATACTAGATACTACAGAGAGGGCAGAGTGTATGGGCTTGCAAAAACAAGCGTTTTGCCTTAATGACCAATAGTTTTATATGGTAATTTAAATCACAATTTGTATAAGGAGTAGGAAAACCAAAAACTGAATATTGTTAGCAGTGTTGCTTACCAATGTCAATATATTTTGGATCCAAGGGAGTACCAATAGAATTGCACAGAACCAGCACATACTGTTTAGAAATAAAAGCAAGTATCAATATTACTATGTGTGTATTTTAGTACATCAATATTTTCTATTTGAGCTGAAGTACCAAAGCAAAAGTACAAATAAAGCAATATAAAAATGAGAGCTATGTCACTACACTTACCTCCTACCTCTGTATGTGACAAAGTATTAAACAGGAAAAAGACCAACTGGATTAAACTAAAAGACTAAATTGACTAGACCAAAGCTGACATTAAAGAAAAGGAAGCTCCCGAGGTCCAGGGCCAACAGGTTGGTAAGAAACCTAGTCTCCTGAAGTTTCTTGGTAGGCTGCGATTCCTTATCAGCATCCTTTCCCTAGATCTCTTTCGATAACTTTAGCCTTTGTATCAGCAGTAGGCCAACAGGTGTCCAATAATTTGTAGCCCAATACTTCTCTTCCTGATGGAAGGAAGTACTCTTTTTCTGTCTATACTCACTTCCCTTCAACACCATACGGTGTGGTGTGACTGCTCCAAAACTGAACAGTCTTATCATTATTACTTTACAGCAAGTGCTGCTAGATGAAAGCTATGAACAGTAACAGCAGTAACTGATCAGGCTGCCAGGAGATTCAGGAAGATGTAAATCATAAGCAAAACCCACCCGCCTTCAGGAAAAGGCTTCCTACTGGTGACTGGTGTTTATGGTTTCACGCCCTGGAACCAGTAGCAGCCTTATGGGAGGGCAAACCAGGCAACTGCCTGGGACCCCACACTTTATAAAAATAAAAATTAATTACACTGAATATTTGTATTATCGATATTGTATTAAGATACTTTCATTGCAATTTAATGGACAGGGCAAGGTGAATTTGAAATTGAAAATGTCCAACTTGCTTATTAGGACATCGGAATTAAGCCTCTAAGGGGCCCCAAGTGACTCTCTTGCCCAGGGCCCCAACAACCCTAAGCCCACCACTGCTGAAACCAAAACATTTATATCAAATAGTTTTACCATAAATGAATGGGGAAATGGGTATCTCTTCAGTCAGATACGTGAAAACTGATAACGCGTTCTGTAGGAGCTGTGTTCAGAAGTAGGGTTTCTATTCCCAAGATCATTTTTGGTCACCAGAATACAGAAAAGATTTCTTCAGCTCATTAATGTACTGATTGATTCTAACTGCATTAGGAGATTATGGAAAAAACTCTATAGCCTGCCCCTTGAAAATGTTGTACAGATAGATTGATATTCATAAATTAAGGAAAGCAGAAATATAACGGGTTTAAATTGCCTGTAAGCTATGCAAAGCCTGTCTTTCAGAAGAAAAGACTTGATCACACAAAGGGAGAGTGATCATGTTAGAGTGAGTCACCTGTTGAAAACTCTCAATTTTCTCAGCTGAACCATGATTTACCTTTGCCGATTTATCAACATTTTTCTTGGTGTTCCCTAATTTCACTTTCAAAAAAGATGCCTTTGATAATGAGAGAGACCACACCTGATTTTTTTTTCCCCAAGCAGTTTAGTTTGTAACATACTTCAACCCTTTGCTGGAACATTATCCCTAGATTTGTTCTTCATTCGGTTTCTCTTCCACATCCGTTGTACTGTACTCTTAGGGTTCTACATCACTAAAGCAGAGATGTTGGAGTCTGATGGAATGAATTTCCAGGATACAGATTTGAGTGGGCAGAAAAGACAGAAAGGTGCTGGCTGGAATTGGAACCATATTTAATGGCACAGCACATTGTCTGACTAAAGTAGTAGGCCTGAGAAATAGAAGAAGTGAAGCCACACCATGAGTTTTAAAAACATAACCTTCTCATTTTTCCTTGTGACACTTCCTAAACAGCTGTTGCTAGAAGCTCTTCTGCTTCAGTCTCCACCTCATAGTCTGTCATTAAATTCACCTCCTTAGATTACGATTCTAGCAAACTGAATTTACTGAAAAAACAAGATTCCTCAGAAAGCAATTTCTAGTGAACCAATACTAGAAAGAAAAAAAGCTTGTTCACTTTTGCCACTGAAGACTGACCAGCCCTTGGTGCAAAAGCAACACTCTAGACACAGACATATCTATAAGTGGGGAAGAAACTGGACGAAGATAAATCACATTTGACATTCTAATTTTTACTGACTAGGAAAAAAAATCAAGTTTCTTCACCTCTCAATAGAGCAACTACACAGATTTTAAAAGTTCAGTCCAGGAAAATTTCAGTTAATTATAATTATACTTCCACTTAGTTGAATATTTCTAACCATTTCACATAAAGCCACATCTTCACCACACAGCACAACACACCACCACCGTACAATCAGTTGACACACTAAAATTATTCTTTTACCGTTGCACCAACTGACTCCATCTCATGCTCCTCCTTTGTAAGCAACATAAAAATGATATAAAAAAACTGAATTAATTCAGAAATGAAAATGGTGACAAATAATATAAATCTGGTACCTCCATCTTACCTTAGATATTTCTACAGAGCAATTGTTTATAAAGGTCATGACAAGAAAGAGCATGCAGTACAATCACAATTTATTTTTTATAATTTCATTTTCTACTCTTCTTTCTGTTTTAATATTTAATTAATATTTTTAATATTTTGTCTACTGATTATGTAGCAAAAGACAAGAGGACTCTTTCTTATACAGCCATTAGTTGTGTTTGTAAGGAGAAACAAAATACAGTTTGGTAATTAACTGCTTCTCTGTCATTTGTTTCATTTTCTTCTGTGTTCCAAGTAGTGTGGATATTAAGTGAATGGTAATATTAATAGTGATGGAGGGCACATCATTCAGAAAATGGGACCTATTGCCAGTCTTTTTCTTCTAGGTTAGGCCACATCTTGAATTTTAAAAGGGATGTTTTCAGCAATAAATTCAGAGTAAAATTAAGTGAGAGTAAAATAAAGACTTTACCTGAGGTTGGCTTTCATCAGCTTTAGTTGCCAAAATGCAGAAGTCTCCACAAGTAGTTATGGAAATCAGACTCTTGACATATTTCACGTATTTCTCATTGTTTTTTGTATCCCAAAAAACCACACAATACTCTGGACGATCAGGTCGAGTATATGCATAAACTACTGTATTGGAGCAGTAACCCCACTGCCAAGACAGATAATAGCGTTAAATTCTATCAGAAACTACTCCGCTCTATTTAACATTGTGAATCATTGGCAATATCATTATTGTTATCATCATGAGTGATAATGTGACTGAGTAAAACATTACAGAAATTATAAAAATGAATGTTATGCTCATGGGGATCTGGTTTTTGGTAGAAATGGTTAACAGATTAGAAAATCACTATGACCCAAGTCACTGAGAAAATCCTTCTAAGCAGCGCAAAATCTCTGAAAGGGTAGCCATAATGCAACATTTCTATACTTAGTGAAATAATTCTTGATAACAGTAAAATAATCTTGATATGATGGTAGAAACTTCCACTACATTCCTGTAAGACCTCCCATAGTACTGCTTTTAGTACAGATCAACTGCTTGTCACAACAGTTCACAGTCTTGCTGGTAATACTTAAGAGGAAAGATACGGGAACTGGGAGGTTTAGACTGGTAGTGATGTACAAAGCCTTTCATCTCTAGGTCACGCAACCCAGGTCAATAACGACTCTCAATCATTACCATCTGACTGCGTTTCAGTGACTCATCTGAACAGCCAGTTCCCACTAGGCACTTGGTGATTTAAATCAGAAGGAAACACCAAAGTGATGAAAAGCAATATCATCTGTTCTATATTAAAGGAAATGATATAGCTTTGAACCTAGAAATCTTTACCACTACAATTTAATATATTAGCAACAGACTATATTTGCCATGAGTAGATCAGAAAATCATCATAACCAAATGAGCAAATATTGACGTCTTTATGCAAGTATACCTTTTGCATAAAGACTTTGAAACTTGCAAGAGGCAGAAACACAACTTACAGACAAAGTTTCTAAAATTCAGGCTTCAAAAAAATCCCTTCTTCATTTGAAGTCTCTTGAGCCTTGCCAAGTCTGGAAATCCACATATTCTGCGATGTTACTTGAAAATGTTTTTTTTCAGTCTCACACAGATACCAATGGTAGTTCCAAGAAAAAGTAGCAGGCATATAGCCCAATCTTTACAAAACTCTCACAGTAAACATTACATAACACTTCCCGTTAGGTTGTTTAGAATTATTTTCTATCTTTTCCAAAATGAATTTCCAGAGCCTCATCCAGTAAATTTGCAACAAACAATTAGGGGTCTTTTTCTAGCACAGATTTTTGTTTTACTCACACTTTGCTTTCTACAACAAAGTAAAACAATGTCTTTATTTACCATTGCAGTATGTTTTCTGAGACCTTTTGTTATGCTATTTTATTCATTTAGCTTTATTTTTATTTCAATAGCAATTAACAAAACACTAAAAAGTTCATATGAACTAGCCATCTCAAATTTATTATTTCAATCATCCTCAGATTGTTAATGTTACTTTTAAGACTGGACAGTAAGGAATATTTAGATCACTTTTTTTTTTCTGTATGCTGAAAGCATGCATTTACCATCATACGACATAACAAATAAGGAGTGCTGAACTAACTTCCAAACCAGAAGCCTATTTTTAAGACTTATACCCTGCACTATCCAGAAGGCTCTAGTACCACTTCAGTTTTGCATCACCTTATAAAAGATGATGAAGTAATACAGGAAGTCATATACAACAGAGTACAAAAAGTGTATATGTACTCTTTTAATTGTATGAAAATCCAAATGTCAGTATACTATTTAAGTATCTCATTCTCAACTATGTGCTGCTTGATTTTACACAGTAAACCAAATGTAATGTAACTGCACCAAGGCAAATCTTTACACATCATCCAAAACACTCACAAAAGAGATTTATCCTATTTGCCACAAGTGCTAGAAGCTGACTCAGACTTCAAAGTTTAGGACATTTGAAACATGCCAGAGTTTTAATCTATATAGAAGCTACTAGGTATAGCTAAGACTGACTCCACACTACAATTTTATCTGTGATTTTATAACCAGTTCCAGGTAAAAGTTCAGATTGTGTTCAAGTAACAGCATTTTTACCATTAAACTATATTTAAACATGCTCAACAATTTTTAATCAATTATTCTGAGAAAATGTATGAAGATCTCTCACTCTGTCTCAGTAGAAATGAGAGTACCAAAGGAAACACATCAGAAACATGTAGAATGATGTTCTCTGGAATGCCCTACTGCAGAGGGAGATGGGAGGCAGGAAAATGATAGATTCATAGATGTCTGGGTTGGAAGGGACCTTAACAGATCATCAAGTCCGACCCCCTGCCCTGGGCAGGAAAGAGCTCTGGAGTCAGACGACCCCGGCCATGTGCATGTCTAGCCCCCTCCAGGGTAGGGGAGAGCACCACCTCCCTTGGAAGCCCATTCCAGATTCTGGCAATCCTTTCCATAAAGAAGTTTCTCCTAATATCTAACCTAAATCTGCTCTCTGTCAGTTTGTGGCCATTGTTCCTAGTTACTCCAAGAGATACCCTGGTAGACAGAGCATCTCCTGTTCCTTGCTGCCCCATCTCCTCCTGCCTCCCTCACCCCCCCCACCCCCCAATGAATTTGTAGGCAGCCACATGAGCACCTTGTGTAATTAAACTGGGTGTACAAAGACAGATGCCCTGTCTAGATTTAAAAAAAACAAACCCCCAAAATAAAAAAACCCCAGCATTCAAGAAAGACTAGCCTGGGTTACCTAAGGTCTGACAAGGGGAAATACTCTTAATTGTTATAGTTACCAATAAGAGTTTTACCACATGGCAGAGAGACACAAACCATTGTTTGAATAAGCCAGCCCAGTAACTGGTCACAAGCTTTCAAAATTATAACAGAAAAACAGAGAACATCAGTTTAAGACAGAGTTAAAACTGTGCCGATATGAACATTAAGGACGACTTTCACGTACCAGTTTGCATCTTTCTCTGCTAATTCAGGTTGTCTTTCTGCAAACTAACAGAGGCAGCACTATGCTGGCATAGACCCATAATTCATTCTGTGAAGCTTCAAAAGCAGTACCAAGGGTGGAAATGGTAGTGTAAATAAGGCTCAGGTGACTATCAGAGTTTCAATTAGCCCTGTCAGAGGCTAATTATCTAGCAATGAAACACTGGATGACTGCCTAACCAACAGTTTCCACCGCTGACCCAGCAAGTGGAAAACCACATGTCCAATATTTCAGTGTAAATAGAGGTTAAACATTAAAAAAACCAAAAAAACAGAAGCTTGGATTTTTCATAAAGTGACGGCTTAAGCTTCAACTCCCTTTGGAAATTTCCTGCCTCCCATTAGCAAGCACTGACTGAAGTATCAATTACAACATCAGTAGATTCTAGATTAGTGGACAGGAAAAAATTAACTTGTATAGAAACCAAATTACTGCATTTTAAGACATTTACATAATGACTAGGGGGAGAATTCTTTTTCAACTAGGGGATGACTAAATGTAGCTTGCGACCAACTGAGTAACCCAATTAAAGCAGAGAAGATTCTGCTACTTTCTCCAGGTGGGTAAATCTTTACACACATTATCATATGGTGCAAATGCACCATAAAAGGAATACAGGCACATCTGCACATCTCCAGAGGTGATCTTCTTTCTATAATACAGGCATTTACACAACCACGATAGGTAACAGAATCACTCCTACGTTTTGGTCAGGTAATTCAGAGTTAGTCACTACGTAGAACAGAAATCTGCCCTTAGTTCGGTCAGCACTTTTTTGTAATAAACTGGGTTTTAATCAGAAAATAATGATTTTCTGACATCATAACTTTTAGTGGAAACATGACAGATTTGACAAGAACTGTTTCTCAAATTTCTGGTGAGAGAAGGAAACAGTGCCATCTTACCAGAATAGTTTAGTTATTAGGACCTGCTGCAGGTGAGTAACAACCAGAAAGCTTTAGGCTATTCTGGAAGTGGTGGGGGTCTCAATCTCTCCAGCTGAGGCTGTTATTTTGTATAGTGGCCAGAAAGAGAGCTGCTGTAGCTTAGTATGTAGGTCATGCAGGGAGGTGGCTGCCCCAGGTTCAAATCCCTGCTCCAATAAATATTTAATCATTTACACCAGGTGGAATAGCTTCAACAAGAATGAAAGATCCAGTGCAGTACTTTTGGTACTTAGGCAGGACGTAAGAGACCTTAATTCTCACAGGACAGAAGAATAACTTCCTTCCTGGATCCTGTAATGGTTAGGAAAAAGTGCTAGTAGAAACAATAACATCATTTTTGGAATTTTCTTCTTCCATTTCATATCTGCTCAATTTAGAAAGCAAACCTTTTCAGGCAGTACATCAAATTCAATCTAATACCTAAAAATTAAGCTGTGTCTTTTTGCTTCCAACAAAAATCAAATAAATCAACACTCAACTGTTTTATTAGTGATACACAGAAGAGACCTCAGCTAGCTCTATTAGGCACAACTGTAATAAAAATTATTTTACACCATTTTTACAGTACTATTTTTCAGCTAATAACCATATTTACTTCCAGTGACTCAAGTACTACATCACTACCTACCTTGTAATCTGGCCGAATGTTTGCAAAATATATGTAAGAATCAACAGCTAATCCAATCTTCAATCCGCCTCCTTCCCAGGACAGGGCTGACATCAGTTTGCCAGGAACCTTCAGTGTACGCAAATGCTAAAATATAGATGTATATTTTAATATATATTATCCAGTAACAAGAACTAAAAAATCATGACGGACAAATTCTTAGACAGATGGAATTAAATACCATTGAAGTTACTCCACCAGAATAATAATGAACACAGAATTTAGCTCTCGTGCTCTTCAACAAACTAAAAATTAATTTAATTTATCATAGTGTTCTTTTGCCTTAACTGAACTGTCTTGTTTGATCAGAGAGAAACTACACAATTTACAATGGATGACTTGTACATAACTCAAATTCACAAAAATATACAGGAAAAATGAATGAAAGCACAAATGTCTTTTCCTTCAATCCTTACATACCTATTATTTAAACCACCTTTTAAATAAAATTAAACTTCCCATTAGTAGCAACAGTAACCTTTGATATTTCTCAAGAGTTAGGATTAGCCTAATACTCCATTATCATAGTAGAACAGGTAATTAAGATCCTTTTGAACACAACTGCTAGAACAAACATGCCCACAGCATAGCATGGCTGTATTTTTAGAATACATCCATCCTATGCCATGGGCATATGTAAAATCAGTTTTGGAAATAAGCTGATCATGCATACACCAAGAGCAAGCTCCACTGACATAACAAATAAATCCTTCCTGAACCTATTCTCTTCCTCCTCCCTTCCACTATTCCCACTACACACGCCTAAAAAAAAAAAAAATGTTCAGTTATGGCTTAACTAATACAGGGAACAACTATATCATTCAGATGACAACAGATGGCAAAATACTTCCCACTTTGCAGCAGTGTATGAAGTTTACAATCAGTGAACTATGATTTCTGGAAATTCATAAAATGCCATTTTTCATATCTATATATTTTTCTAGAGACTATGACTGCAATCCTGTAGGCACATATGCAGGTAAAAAGCCTTAGATATTCAAATAGTTCTGTGGAATTACTCATATGTATCAAACTACTCCTGAGACTAAGTTTTAAACGATCAGGGCCTTAAGTTTTCTTTGATCATGAAAAGAGGACTTCTTTCTTAATAGAATGCCAGTTGGTCTAATAAAAGATATCAGATTCACCCAAGGAACCTTGTCTGCCTATGTCCTTAGACCAACACAGCTACAACCTACACCCCAGTGAATTCTATTTTCATTTAAATGTCATGTCTCAGCCTAGCTTCATTATGAGACAATAACTTTGTGTCTTAGTTAAATGGAGGTGTATATTTTATTATTTTACATGACTCCGTATCTTATTAAGAGAATAGCGAAATGATTAGTTGGACTACACTGGAGCCAGGCAGAAAAACAGAGCAAGGTGACACCTTCATTTCTAATGGTGTGAATTTCTATGAAGTATCTACCACCAGAAAAATGGCCCGAGAGCTGGAGCAGACATGTGTTCCAGCCCCCTGGCTGGAGAGTCTCACAGATGAGCTCCTGCTTGGTTCACCCCTACCCTTAACGGTACCCACTAATTGGCAGCCTGCCCTCTGCCCTGCCTGTGAAGGAGCAAGATGTCAGCAGGCAGTTGACAGCTGCTGGAAAGCAGCAGCTGCCACAGACACCCCCAGGAGGGTTCTCACAGCAGGAAAATGCCCTGCCTCCTTCCCCCAATTTCACTGATCAGCTGGCTGGCAAGACAGTGGAGGCTTCTCCTCCTGTAGGAACTCTCCTGGTTCCTGCCACACTCCATGCTCCCCTCCAGGTCTACCAAGAGGGGTTTCAGGGGCAAGGAGGGGAGGGCATTCTTCCACAGGGAAAAGCTCCCAGAGCCTTACTGCACTTCAGCTCCCTCTGGACCCCTTAACTCCTCCAGGTTGACCCAGAAGAGTGCGGAGGAACCATTTTCCCTGGAGGCAACCCTCCTGAGGCTCTGGGATGGGTCCCACCACAGGAGAATGGCCCCCAGTCATGGGACGAGTTCTATGGCAGGGTCACCAGCGGCGCTTCTTCCTGGACAAGGGAGGGATGGAGAGAAAGCCTCCTCAACATCTGAGAGAAGCACGCAGCCATTCAAGTCAGCATAGGAGGGGGGAGATCTTCCTTGTAGCAATCAATCTAACTTTCTTGGGAAAAAGCCACTTCTCTGCAAGAAATCCCATGAACAGCTCTATCCTCTCTTTTTGTGCTGGGAGAAAGGTTTTCTCCTGGTATGCATGTAACACCTTAGAGACTAACTGGTTCAGAAGGCCACAAGCTTTCATAGCCAATAACCTTTCAGCATGTTTACCAAGATGCTGAATTAGGCTGTTGCCTAAGAAAACTTGTGCCTTTCTGAACCAAGCAGTCTCTAAGCCAGTGGTTCTCAATTTTTTTAGATTCAGGAAACTGCTCCATAACTTTTCTGAATTTGGCAGCACCCCAGTTAAGAACAACCATTGCACTGTTTCAGCTTTACCATTCTCAACCAAGACACTGCACCACCGATATGTTTCCTGTGTTTCTTCACTGCTCCCAAGTGAAACTACCCCAAAACAAAGGCACGCAGGAAGGAGTATGAGGGGATTAGACCAAGAAGGGCTGCAGCAGGTGTTTCTGCCAGCACTAGGTTTATCAGATGAGAAACCCATGCACCTACCGCAGCTGCCTTCTGATCTGGTACTGCATGAGATGCAAGGGAAGCACCCTGAAGATACCCCTAGTTGAGAACCGCTGCTCAACGTGTATTAATTGTTTACCCTCTGCCACTGAAGAGTAGCTAATGAGGCATCTATGCGCATGATTAATTTTGGACTTAAGTGATACACAACAAAGAAGCCATCATCTGAAAATCTCAGTCAATATCTGTGGGTATCAGAATTAGTATAATGCCATTCCCCTTAGATCTCAAAATTAAGTTTACTTGTGAATATTTCTACACATTGGATGCAGAACCTGGAATGCTTGGGGCAGTCACTTACACTATAATACTAGTTGGCAGTGCATTAGTTAAATTGTGTCCAAGATTCTGACAATAAATACTGAAGGCTACAGAATTTCCCCATAAATCAGGATCTTGGTTTTTTCAGAACAAAATGTGCAACTCAATATTCTTTCCTTACTGGAACTGCTGGGGCTGGCCTGATACCACTTCCTTCTTAGGAACCAAGACTTCCTCATACACTCACTATTGTTTTACATAATGTTGTGCATAGCCAATAATCACATCGGCTAATTTATTTATTTCTAATACTAGCTAACTGCCCATCAAGAATGATGGGGGCTGGGATGGAGTGCCACCACCTAACGCCCCATGCTGCTGCTGTTCTGCCTCTTACAGGGAGCGGGGTGGGGGAGCTAAGGCAGCACAGATTCTGCTAGCATAGGAACACTGGCCTGATGCTCTAGCTGCAACAGCCTATAAACCAAATGAGGTCAAGTGTAAAAGACTTTCATAAAACAGTGTCTCCTAGAGATGTGTGAGGATAAAAAAGGATTTACAATGCATCTTTGAACAGTTTATGGGAAAAAAAATGGGCAGGTGTCATTTCCCAAGCTTTAATGAATTTCACCCATACAATGTATGCTGGACAGTGAACCTCCCAAAGCACAATACTGTGCAATCAATAAAAATATAAATATATTCTTCTAAATATATATAACTCATACATCCAAAGTACAGAACACTATGGATATTCTAATCATAATTACAGCAATCACTAGACAAGTAAAATAAATATCTTAATTTGAGCTTTTTAGACAAGTTGCAACGCATTTTTACCTCACCAAATGGAGTGTAGAACTGAACAATATTGACATCTTTCTCTTGGGTAGTTGTTTTTTGGGAGCCTGCCACAGCCAACACACTTCCACAATGATTCCACTGGATACAAACCACATTCATACCAGCATCAATCAAAACAGGGTCTATTTTTTAGAAATAAGAAGTCGAGTATTAGCAATATTGGGCCAGGAATGGCTCAACGATCAGTTCCCAAGACTTTAGCAAAAACAGCATTACTTCACGTTTTAAATACACCTAATTCTACGTCATTTCAGATGTTATCAGAGGTGCTGAAATAAAGTTGTTTCTGCACACCAGGCAACTTACACACAAGCACGATGCTCCATTCCATCCCCCTCTATTTAAGGGACTCCCAGTCAAACATGTCCCTCCATAACAAGGCCTTCTATACCTCCCATTCCTCTTAATTGCCATATACATAGGTTGCACATGCCCCATATCTCCCTTTCCCATACTTTTTTTCCCATTCTTCCCCCACGCAAGAAGCTCTGTTTCCTATTCTGTCATTCCCCCACCGTTCCTCTCCCTCACTATGGCAGGAGCTCTGTGTGATGCCCCATTTCCTTCTGCCAGTTGTCAGGGGTGATGTGAACATCCCACCTCCTCTCCATACCACGGTCCTTCATTCTGCCCCAGTCCAAAAGGGCTCTTTAACTGCTATCTTTCCTCCCAATCCTCTCTCCCCCATACAATTCTTACTAATTTTATTTCTGTCCATGGCTATAAATCATTTCTTTGATCTACAGACCCTCACTAAAATGTCTGATAGAAAAGGGGCTGTTAAAGGTGCTGGGGCTCTCCATGTCCTCTATTGCCCTTTTCAATTCCCAGGTTTTGCCAAAATCACTTGGATCCCACCCATTCTAAGAAACTCTCTCTGAAATTCTGGAATTGACTGATTGCAGCAGCCAAAAGTAAACACGTTACAAACATAGAAATACCTTTCAGCTGAGTGTTAGACCTTGCCTGCATCAGATAAAAAGTAAGGTGTACTCACTTTGGTCATTCTCATGTCTCATTATCTGGCACCTTCCATTGTCAAAACAAATAGCAAGGCAAGGACAATCCGGCTCAATGTACCCTTCTGCACCATGGTACCAATGTATTCCAGCAATACTAAATGCTCCAGTTACATTCACCAAGCAATTCATTTTCATTTTCATCTAGACAAAAAAAAAAAAAAAAAAAAATTAATTGTTATCTATCATATATTTAATCAAAATGGTTCTATTTGCAATGCACATTTATACCATAATCTTACAAAAGATTAGAGTTGTGTAGGAAATGTTTTTCCTACCCAAATGATTTTTCTTCCACCCAAGAAAAAAAATTATGAGATTTGAAAAAATGTCACCATCAAAATAGACAGTCAAAATTTTGAAAATTTTCACAAAGTATTATGCCAATAAAATTAAGTTCAGGTCAATCAAAACATTTTGTTTTGACAGATTTTTTTAAAGATATATGCATTTACTCTGAATTAGCTCAATTACTAAAAAAAGGCATTTAAAAATGTTAAAAGCATTTAAATCTAATGTTATAATGATAGGTTTTTTGGTTTGAGGTTTTTTTTTTTTTTAACTAGCTCTTGTTTACCAACAATTTCAGGACATAAATTAAGGGAATATAATTTCCTGTCTACAAATCTTTTTAAACTAATCTTAAAATGGCCTCTTCTCTTAATTGATACATTCTATTAATTTAGACAATTCTCTGTCCATCTAGGGAGCCAATTTAAAAGATTTTACTTTACATTGTCATTGCCCAAATATGTAATACTACACATCACAGTTATTCCTGTATTCCAAATAACTGGAACTTCAACATAAATGACAAAATACACATTTATTACTGTAGAGGAAAGCACAAACTCATTGTAGCTACTTGACACGGAACAGCATACCCCCAGAATCCTCTGGATGAACCCCAAACTGGCTCAAATAGCTGGTGTGCAGTTTTGCACTTAGACCTGGAGATTCAGCAGAAGAAACAATAGATAGTAAAAAAAAAAAAAAAAAAGTCCAGTCAGGAAGCCCCAGTAAAAGGAAAAACAACAAGAAGCCAACCAACTGTGGGAAATAAAGAGCATACAAGTTGTGTTGTCTAAACCAATGCAGAGTCGCAACTGCAGCTGTATTTTTTAAATATTGCTTAGAAAGATGAAACTCCTTAGAAAAATAAGATAGGGTAGTAATAATGCCTAGCAACTGCCTAGAAATAGTGATGTTGCACCAAGTCATAAAAGAAATAGCAAAAGACAACAGTTTGCCTCTGCTTGGACTGCATCCCTAGAAACAACACATGACTAACACGACATAGTGACCTGGGATTCTCGCCCCAGCATGGCCTGCTGATCCAGGACTCTCATTGCATCCACCCAAAATTATTGCTGCATAGTGAGATCCACTTTAATGCATATAGCATTGCTGCTTTAGCTCTGTATGTAGCCAATAAAGCTTTGCTTGATCTTTTACATCAGACAGGTGTGTCATGGTGCAGTCCATATAACCTCCCTGGCCCACTCAAATACTTGCGGGACATAAAATTCTACACCAACCATTAGAAATAGAAAATAATATTAAAGCCATTTATCTTTATTCAAGGACCTGCTACAGAGATTTTCTTTTAGGCACCTAAGATCTTTAATTCACGGTCTCCCTGCCAAATAATGTGATAGGAAACTGTTGCTTTATGCCAGGAGTGTCAAACATTCACCCCATGGACCAGATCCAGTCTGTGGAGCCCTATGAGCCAGCCTGTGGGTCTTGGACTGACCCTGTACATCAAGGCAGTCTGGCATATGGACTGAACCCAGCAACATGGACACCGCAAGTAGCACAGGGGGTCAGTCCAGGGCATGAGCTGCATGCAGCACCCATACCAGACCAGCCCTGTAGGGTCTCCAAGAGCAGTCCAGTAGGACTGCTCTTGGAGCAAAGCAGTGAGCACCCCAAGCACAGTGACCCCCAAAAGCAGGACCAGAATGTGCTGCGTGCAACATGCAGGGCTGAACCACCCTACACACTACAAACAGCACCCACCAGGTCATAATTGGGCAGGATGAGTTTGATCCCCCACTTACCCAATATTACTGCACAACATATATTGTATGGGTGAAATTCATGTCATTTACCTAACATGCACATAAGCAATTTTCAATTGTTTTTTACATAATGAACTGCAAACCAAAGAATGCACTGATGCTATATTCACTTAGCTGTCCAGAATGATAAAACAGGTACTATAGGCATTTGTACACATACCTTTTCAAGATCCAGCAGGTCAAAGCAGACTCAATTAATCAAGTCTGCTCCACACGCAAGCTGATACACACTGCGCCACATTGCGTACAGTTGTATAAGTGGCAAAATTAGCGTCAGCACGCAGAAAATGGTGGTGGTGCGCTTTTAAACTAAAACACCTTTAAGATGCTACTGCCATTTTATACAACTGCATGCACCGCAGCACTGGGCGCTTTTAAAAGTGCCTGGCACTGCACCACAAGCATATGTACAAATGCCCTATATGCCTAAGGGCAGACAAGGTTCCGTGGGTGAATTTGATATCTTTTATTAGACCAACCCAAATGGTTGGAGAATAGTTATTAAGCAAGCTTTCGGGTTCAAAAACCCTTCGTTAACCCTGGATGGAAGAGCACACAGCAACTGCTGAAACTTCCTTGGCCTGATGAAGGGTTTTTGAACCCGAAAGCTTGCTTAATAACTATTCTCCAACCATTTGGGTTGGTCTAATAAAAGATATCAAATTCACCCACGGAACCTTGTCTGCCCTTAGGCATATAGGGCATTTGTACATATGCTTGTGGTGCAGTGCCAGGCACTTTTAAAAGCGCCCAGTGCTGCGGTGCATGCAGTTGTATAAAATGGCAGTAGCATCTTAAAGGTGTTTTAGTTTAAAAGCGCACCACCACCATTTTCTGCGTGCTGACGCTAATTTTGCCACTTATACAACTGTACGCAATGTGGCGCAGTGTGTATCAGCTTGCGTGTGGAGCAGACTTGATTAATTGAGTCTGCTTTGACCTGCTGGATCTTGAAAAGGTATGTGTACAAATGCCTATAGTACCTGTTTTATCATTCTGGACAGCTAAGTGAATATAGCATCAGTGCATTCTTTGGTTTGCAGTTCATTATGTAAAAAACAATTGAAAATTGCTTATGTGCATGTTAGGTAAATGACATGAATTTCACCCATACAATATATGTTGTGCAGTAATATTGGGTAAGTGGGGGATCAAACTCATCCTGCCCAATTATGACCTGGTGGGTGCTGTTTGTAGTGTGTAGGGTGGTTCAGCCCTGCATGTTGCACGCAGCACATTCTGGTCCTGCTTTTGGGGGTCACTGTGCTTGGGGTGCTCACTGCTTTGCTCCAAGAGCAGTCCTACTGGACTGCTCTTGGAGACCCTACAGGGCTGGTCTGGTATGGGTGCTGCATGCAGCTCATGCCCTGGACTGACCCCCTGTGCTACTTGCGGTGTCCATGTTGCTGGGTTCAGTCCATATGCCAGAATAGGCATTTGTACACATACCTTTTCAAGATCCAGCAGGTCAAAGCAGACTCAATTAATCAAGTCTGCTCCACACGCAAGCTGATACACACTGCGCCACATTGCGTACAGTTGTATAAGTGGCAAAATTAGCGTCAGCACGCAGAAAATGGTGGTGGTGCGCTTTTAAACTAAAACACCTTTAAGATGCTACTGCCATTTTATACAACTGCATGCACCGCAGCACTGGGCGCTTTTAAAAGTGCCTGGCACTGCACCACAAGCATATGTACAAATGCCCTATATGCCTAAGGGCAGACAAGGTTCCGTGGGTGAATTTGATATCTTTTATTAGACCAACCCAAATGGTTGGAGAATAGTTATTAAGCAAGCTTTCGGGTTCAAAAACCCTTC